CCCCTATAAATAGCAACTCCAGGGGCGGCTGGTGATTGAGCCGCCCCTACAAATCAGACCCCATTTGTAGGGGCGGCTCGTATCACCAGCCGCCCCTGCTGTTCCATTTGTAGGGACGGTTGGTGTCTGGGCACCCGAGCACACCACTATAGGGGCAGCTTCATCACCAGCCGCCCCTACAAAAAAATCGAACCGTTGCTAAAAATCATTTTTCACGTAGTGAGAGGAGCCTGATAGTTCTTGTTTTCTTTTCTAGGCTAAGTGAGACATTTTTTATTTTCCAGCTGTATTGGCTCAATTCAGATGTAAAATTAGTAGGCTCACTGGCAATTCAAACAGTAAACTCTGGTTTGGGTCTGGAAAGTTTACAGAGCTGTAATTTACATGTGTTTTGGTCCAATTACCAGGCTTCTAAACATGCTCTTAACGGTAGTTACTTGGTTTGATTTGCCAAACCGTCTAAAATCATTGTAAATTGTAACCCATGGTCGAAGAGGTCTAGTTTTCATGATGGTCAATAGCGTTATTTGCAGAGCAATCCATACTTGGGATGTTAAGAAGATGGGAATTGCTATGCCAGGTGGAGAAAACTCACAGAACTGAAGAGCTAGAATCGTAATTTTGAGGCCACATCAACCTCTATATTGATATGAGGTCCTTTGTTGCTTAAAGTCTCATGGGTCTTATTCTTGTTTCTCTCGTTTCTTTTTTTTTTTTACACTAGCAAATATGCTTATGCATTGTAATAGAAGAAAAAAGTATCAAATGTTATTGAGAAACTATGACATGAATGTTACATATCTATTTATGATTTATTCTTTCCAAAAAATTTCAAGTATAGTTTATTTTATAATGACCATGATATCGATAGTATAAATTAATGTTGGCAATAATATAATAACGTCCTATTAAGCATATATTGAGTTAAAATACAACCTTAATAGTTTTTTGCCTGTTGCAGAGCACATAAATATTTAGGTATAAATATAGTGTAACTCATACTATCCATGTGTTACTACAGTTAAATATGGAGCTTTGTGACTTTATTTGAGGATCTATGAAGATACATAATTCTAATCTCTGATTAACGTAGGCAAAGAGTTACTTGTTGACGTGTCAAGGATTGGTCTGTCCACCAATAGTACCAAGGGAGCCATCATTTGATTTTGCACATGATAACCCTTTTACTGAACTAGACAACAAACTTCAGAATTTTAGTTTAGAATTTAATTAGTTAGACCATCGTTAGACCTTAATTTTAATAAGAATAAATTTTGTTCCTAATCAAAACTATGGAGCGATGAAGCAAAGTACCTGACTGGCTAACTCGATCCCTGGAAGACGCGATTAACAGCCACCCGTGCTGTCTTCTTGACCCACTGTCACTTGGAAGGGCCCATGGACCATGAAACAATGCCCCAATATGGTGGCCTAGTTACTGCATAAATTTACAGATTCCTAGATTTAATTAGCTACCACCACCCTGTTATTCACAATCAGACATCGACATCTCTCCAGTCCTTTCTGAGGCTGAAATTATAACAAAAAATGGCTGAAGCACATATATAATTAAGAATGAGAGGTATAATACCACAAATAATTACAATAAACGATTGTCTAAAAAACTGATTGCAACAGACTATCGCCATTATTAGTTCTTCTCAAACTTCTTCTCTTCTTTTTTTTTGTCGAAGATCGATCGACCTGCTCAAACTTTGGCGAGCATCATATATAAATATACAGAGTAGCGTCCTCATAAATTGTCGTCACTGTCATCAGCTTTGCTGCATACCTAGACTATAGATCCTTCTCTGTCTCCATTTAGAGAAAAAACGGAACCACACATGTGTGGCAGGTACAAACATCCACGCATGCCTCAAGAGAGAAGTGTTTTAAAGCTAGTTATTATTATTAGGTGGAGCAAGTCTACCAACGCTAACGATATCGATCGAATGCTGCAAACCATAAAGGCACTCCATCCATCCACAGCGCGGCGATGGTGACGAGGAGCCGGCGGCGTCCGGTGGAGCGGCCTGAGTCAAGCGAATGGCTGCCGCGGATCGGACGGGCACGGGAGGTCCAGCCAGCAGATCGTACGGCAACGGAAGTACCGGAACTGTATGAGCCACACCGGGACTGTATGAACCGTAGCGGGCTCTGCTGTTGGTAGGCAGGCGGGTTCCGTACGACCGGGAGTGGATGAGGGTGACCGGAGCTGTAGGACTGTAGCAGGTTACCGTTGGGAGGTGGTCTGGAAAACTAAAGATTTGTATGATTATTAGGATCGATCCATCAATATTTAGTAGTATATCAGTACATGCTTATGTACATTAGTTCTCGATTAGGATGAAAAGAGATTAAAAGGTTCATGTTAAATGTATATTTTATGTACACACAAACATACTGGAGAAATAATGAAAGTTAGACAATATACAAAACGTTTCGGCACAAATATAAGAGGAGCAAGTAGTCTTGAAAAGCTGAAATGGTTTGATGAAGAATATAATTGTGTATTAAGGAAAACATAACTAAATAATCTGTTAGCTCATTGCTTCGCCTGTGCCTCGGCCTGATGCCAACGATTTACAAATCAAAAGCGAAACAATCTTGGTGTTTAATGGTGTATGAGCCGAGGGAACACAGTAGATGTGAACACATATTGAAGGCATGGTCGGCCACCATCACGCAAAGTCCTGTTATGTAAAGAAAAAAGAGCAGATTTAAGTGCGCAAAACAATAATATATTCTCAGGTCACGTATAGATAAATGAGCGAAAAGTAAAGTGTTAGGTTCCTGCACAGCACGGCAAGGAATGTGGCCCAGGATGTATTGAGCGTGAGCAAACAATTTTTACTGACAAATGCTTGTTGGTTGAACACCAGAATTGCACGATGATGTGACATAGCACACTAAATGAAGATTATATTTACCAAAACTAAGCAAATTGAGCAGGGTGATGGATTAGGCTGCTGAATGCAGTTCCATATTTTGCAGAACTGGCCAGTAGCCATGCAAAGGCCAACAAATGAATATGTTGACCATAATCAGCAAGAAATACGAAATGGACATGGAGAATATATCACCCTTTGTACAGCGTTCATATTGCCATATCATTGCTCAATTTTTTCTACAATCTACTGCCAATCTTTGTGGAACCTAAATATGTATAAATAAATAATGAGGTGCATACTGATGATGAACAGGCAAAAGTAACAAAGGGAGGGCACCCCATATAACCTTGTTGCTCTATAATTGGTGAGTAATTAGAAATTGAGACTACCGGCAGGACAACCATGAATTCAAATGGGAAGTGTGATAGTTAGAAAAAAAAGGACATTCATGTAAAGGATAGATTTAGAATAGGTCAGACTAACAGACAAAAGGGAAACAGAACGAACCCTTTTTTTTGGAGCGGTCTCTCTTTGCAGACCATCAAGTAGACACCATGTGCCTTGCCTTCCTATGAGGCAAAAGAATAGCACACACACATGGCCAAACGATGGTTAAAACATTTATTTATGTATATACATATGGGATACCATCACCACGTAGCACGCTAGATTTATTTTGTACCTATTTCAGGTGCAGCGAAAAAATCATTCTGTGATAAAATGTTTCATAGGCTAAACAGCATGTGATGGTTGCAGCAACCAAATATGTAAATAAATTCATAAAAATCACAGTGATGTATGAAGCAGCGGGAAGCCATCAAAGAGTTATTGTGGACATTTTCATATGGAATATAACATCATGCAACTTTGCACTCTTTTATGGCTTTGGTAAATTATATTCTAAAATATCACTTCAATTGCATATAAGTGTTAGGACTCCAGATGGAAAAGAGGTAACATGATTAAGGAAACTAATGACAAATCGTTTCATGCAGTAAATTAACCGAAATACAAAGTAGAAAACATAAGCTGTTTGCCACAAATCACCTGTCATACAGCACAAAGCCAAACTTGTGATTTTAATAGAAGAAAATAAAAGGGTTCAGTGTAAAGCAAGAATGTATCATTTTGTACCTTGTGAGATGATCAGCAATTTCACTAAGAATAGAGGTTTCATGGATTTATGGTGGTAGCAATAGTAAAAGCTTGGTGACACTATGTTGGTAGGCAAGCTAATTAGTACAACAATTTAAGTATGATCTACAGACGAGGAGCTGGATATCAATGGTCATTGTCAGGTTCTTAGCGCAAAATATTGCTGAAACTTTAGGCGTCCCACATAATATTAAAGGCCTCATGCAGATCAATCGCTTGTTAGGTGTTTGATGCAAAGTATTGCTGAAACTTCAGACACCACACATACTATTAAAAGCCTAATGCAGATCAGTTGCAAAGTATTCATAGCCTCAAGACTATATATCACTGACTCCTAAATAATTAGAAAATATGGATGTCTCAATCATTATGGAAAAAAGTAATCGGTCAGTTAGAATGGTTGCATTAGGAAATAGAAGATTATACCCTTTGTACTGAGGCAATGAGCTAAAGTTTTTTTTTGGGGTACCAAATCATAATGAACCTAGACAATCATCTGGATCGTTTCAACTGAAATGGCAATGATTGCCTTGCGTCAGTTGTCAACTACTACAGCAAACAATAGCCATGTAAAGGATTGGTACCAAACTGGAGTAAATAATCATGTGTAAAAGGATAAACTGATTCAGCAGTTCAGTGTCAAGGCTCACGAAAAACTGCAAGAAAAGAAGACTAAAGAACTGTGAACACGGGAAATAGCTCTGTTCTCCTTCTTCCAATATCTAGATGAGCAGAGGAGCAACAGGCAGACGACTGCTGGTGGGTGCCGGCCAAGAGGGGGGCAAGTATTGCGGCACCAGCGCAGCATGATGGAGAGGAACACTGAACGGCTCAGTACCTCATGGAGAGAAAGCGGGTGCGGCATGTACACGTACAGGGAGGAGGGAGTCCGGATGGGGACGATGTCCGCGCTCGGTTGGGCACGTACTGGTAGGAGGGAGGCCGGAGGCGGCGATGTGGAGTTGGGGACGACGCTCGTGCTCGCAGTGGCACGTACGGAGAGGAGGGAGGCCGGATGCGGTGATGGGGATGACATCCGCGCTTGCCGCAGCAGGTACGGGGAGGAGGGAAGGCGGAGGCGGCGATGGGGATGGCTCCTGCACTGGCGGTGGGCGGACCCGTCCAAAGGAGGAAGGGAGTGCAAGCAGGTCGTGCGGAGGCGGCGGCGATGGAGGAGGACCAGGCCGTGTGGATAAGGAGGCCTCGTGCCTTGGAACGGAGGCGCGAGATGGACTATCGGCGTGCATCGAAGGGCCCTAGGGGCACAGGGCACTGTATTAGTGTAGAAAACGCCAGAGGCTGTGGATGGAAGAATCGGACGACTCAGGGAACAGACCGGCACTGTAGGACTGTGACGGCTGAGAAACTAAGCATTTCATATTTGATATATGACTAGTATAATGCTCGTGCTAACGTCACGGTTTTATCTTGGAGATCCACATAAAAATAACCAATGATATTTTTTTCATAGTTCAACTTTTACACAATTATATTTGAGCATGTTTACAATCCAAGAAACACTTTTGCATAAGAAGACATAGTAAAGTTATTTCTTATATTAACAATCTAAGTTACATTCTACCTAAGTCCTTAATCATGACTTCAAGATCTTTAGAGAAGCTATCAAAACATTCGTTTGCACGGCTCTTCAAAATGTCCGCCAAGAATTCCATACTCAGTGAAGTTGATAGCTGTACATGGCAGATAATAAGCTAAATTATTAATTTCCTCATCGTAACAGCTCCTGACACTTGTCATTCATAAATCTTACCCATCAGTAAAACTCGCAAAGAGCAAGCAATGGCAGCGGCGATCCTAGTGCTGCAGGCCGGGCATCCAACAGGCGCCCACCTCCACCATAAATCAAGTAGTGTAGTCCTAAAAATTATGGACCAGTCTAAAAAACATTTTTCAGTAGTGTTTAATGATTAGATTAGTATTAGCAATTGTTTATAGCTAAACTCTAAGACATGAAAGTCATCAGGGATCAGAAAACTCACATAACCATGAGAGATGGCAGCTGTGAAAAGACATCAGGAATTGAGCCCTCCAACTTATTGTGTGATAAATCCCTGAAAATATATCAGAATTCAGAAACACAAATTTATCTTCACTGACTAAAATTCACTGCAGAATTAACGTGACTGAAAACATGTAGTTACAAATACTCGAGTGCTTTGAATTTGGCAAAGTAAAATGATACATCTCCGTTCAACCCGCTGAATGAAAGGTGTCTGTGTAAACATCCAAAAGTTCAGATGTCATAATTCAGACGAAAGTGTTGTTTATACTGAAAGCATACCTGCGATGTTGGTGATATCGCTTAGCGCATCGCATGTATCTCCGGGCGTACACATTGCGAAGTATCAGCGAGGATCTTCAGCCGGCAGTAGCGGCGGGCAGCAGGGTTTCCTCCAAGATAAGATAATCGGGTACAGATTTAAGTGAATATTTGGTTTTGGCACAGAACTAATTTGACATTATGTGTCAAATACAAATTTAACAGACTCGTAAATTGGCATACCTTGCATCAAAATTAAGCCGGAAACATATGCTATTTTGTGTTAGCTATAAGCTATGCTAGTAACTGAATCTGTAACCAGAGTACCAAACAGAGCACATGACTGGAACTTCAAAGCATGAAAGTCAATGATGACCACATAGTAGGATCTTAAAAAACATGCAAGGAAGGTATATCTTTTTCCTTTTTCCTTCTACTTATTTTTCTTTTATATAGACAGACCCACAAAAGTGAGTACTGATATGTAGCTCAAGCCTTCATCATAGTCATGCAATGAAATTCAGAACAATTAGAACAAACCAGGATTATTCATCATGGGATAGTTGCAGTGTTGCACACCGGCACTAGTACATATTGATCTAGAATGAAAAAAATATTGATGAAATATGGTAATCCTCTCTGTTTTTAGCTAGAACTAAAACATTATAAGAACATGTGAACTGTAAGCATATAGTTGGCACTTAGTTTACAACAAAAAACATTTTTTATAGGTTCCTAACATATCTACGGCTCCATCACAGGAATCATTTTCAAAATAAAATTTTAACATATAACATCCATTGACCAAACTCAGAGATAAAAAACCTGACTGCTATCATAATTCCTAAATACAGAAGACATATGTCACCAAAGAAACTCCGGGAAAGAAAGAGGAATACTTACTGTGTTTAATGAAATGCTCGTGAGACAGACTCTCAAGCAGTTGCTTCAAGGCTTTATTTTCTAAGTCTAACATGATATTTTGCTGTCCGAGAAAATCCATTTAAGTAGTTACTTCTATCCCATCTGTCTGCAATCATAAAAATTTAAGAATTATATATGATGTTTAAGGTTTCTAACTCATGCAACAAACGACTAATATGGTTGGTTTTGGGAAAAAAGGATTACCTGTAAGGGCTGAACTCTTCTCTCGAGCTATGCAATATACTAGAGCAGGTCGTCCAGCCACGACGGTGTCTTGGGCTCGTTGAGAAGGTTGTCCGGCGACGACGGCTACTCATCGGCGAGGAAGCTCTTGGATGACGTGCGCTGGTAGCTGTGCCGGTGGTGCGCGTCTCACGCCGCGCGATCGGGCTGAGCTCGGCGTGTGGCGCTGGCACCGCTACCAGGAACAGGCTCCGTAGTGAAGCAACGCCTGCTTCTGCAGCCTCCCGTTCACCATGATGGCATTGGCGTGCTCACCCAATCTGGACCGAGAAATTATGATAGAAAATGGTGAGAAAAAAATCCCCAAGATTTGAGAAACCGTAGCAATTAAACTACCTCTCCGAAAAGCTAAAATTCAGGCGGGATTGTTGCAGCTCCAGCCACAGATCGTGTCCAGGAACAACAACATTTGCCAAAAATCGAAAACTTACGGCAAATTCGCATCAAGGACCTTCTCTTCCTCCTCGTCGCGCTCCACTCCCTTCCACGTCGTGCCGCCCTACGGCTGCGCCGCTCCGACGCCGACGGTTGCTCCTCCACAGCCTAGTCGAGCCAGCACTTCGCACAAGGCGCCCAGCTCCTCGCCCGCGCCCGCCGCGGCCCCCAAGCCCCCGGCCGGCTCACATCGGGAGAGAGGGAGACAGAGATGCGTGCGGGGCGCGGGTAAAGGGCTAGCAGCCGCCGGGGGCCGTCCGCGTTGGAGGGCGGCCACCACGGGAGCCTGGCGCCGCCGCCACCGCGTGCAACCCTAGAGCCCCGAAGCCAGGCGTCGTAGCCTGTCCGCGTGTGCCTTGTGTTTTTTTTCAGAAAAAAAGGAATATGATCAGGGGAGGTGGGAATCGAACGCAATGTTTCATTTTTTCGGTGTTCCTAGGCTTCGATCTCTGGTCGCGACATGCGTGGGGCGCGTTGAAGCCTGCGTGCGTGGGATGGAGGGCGCGGGGTGGGAAGCTCAGGGTGAGAAACCTAGCTTCCCACATCGAATCGTGGCGATCCGATTTGTCTAGGTATTTTATTAGCCCTTGATTTTAATAGAGATGAATTCCTGTATATTTTTCTGGGTGCACAATGGTTGGAGGCTCTCAGCGGGGGACTTTTTCCTAGAGGGACCTAGTATAATTTTGATTGGTCTATTATAATAGAGATATGATATGATACATAAGTAACGGTTATTATAATAGAGATATAATTTTGATTGGTCCATTATAATTTTGATTGGTATATTTTTCTGGGTGCACAATGGTTGGAGGCTCTCAGCGGGGTAAGGCTATTCTACTGCAGCTGGCCATAGAATAACTTATTCTATAGCCATCTTGATTTACGATAATGTTTGTACCAATTTACGATAACATGAATATGCATTTACGATACTCGTGTTACTACAACTCACGGTGATATTTACCATAATGTTATAGTAAATTACTTAGTAAGGAGTTACTGTAATCTCATAAATTAAAATAGTAATTATCATAACTTAAAGTGGCCACAGAATAAGTTATTCTATGGCTATGCAGAACAATAGTTCTATATATATATATATGATGCAAGCCAACACTAGACCAGCTGGTCTAGCTGTGCACTTTGCACCCAGCCCGCCAGACTTCGAATCCTCTAGGGGCGGATTTGTTAGCGAGAAGAAGCGCAGTTTATCTACATGTTGAAAAAAATCACCCCGTCTACCCCACGCCAAAGCATAGGTTTAAGGCCAGCTCAGCCTCACAGGAGCTGTGGTGTCGCTATGTATGGGTGGGGCAGAGGTTCAAAGATTTTCTCGATCTACGTGAGAATGTCTTCTTCTTAAGCACAATGTCCGAGGTTGTCTTACCCCATGAGTTGAGTTTTTTTTTTTTGTTATATATTACTAGGATGAATGGCGCGCTTTGCCGTGCTGTGGCGGCTGCATGCTTGATTAGCGGTATTTATATATCTGTCATTTTTTAGTTTGTTTATTAGGATAAAATGCACTTGGCATGCATTATTGGGGGTAAGTCTGTTAGCCTTTACTGTTTTCAGGTCAAAATGCATTTGGATTGGACTTAGTCCTTCGGGAGTCTTTTTTTTTTCCGATGGCCATAGAAAGGAAAGATCCATCTAGTTAGGGCGCGTTTAGATCCGAAAATTTTTAGGTTTTGGGTACTGTAGCATTTTTGTTTGTATTTGATAATTAGTGTCTAATTATAGACTAATTATGTTCGAAAGTTTCGTCTCGCGATTTCTCACCCAACTGTGCAATTAGTTTTTTTTATCTACATTTTATACTCCATGTATGTGCCGCAAGATTCGATGTGACACTTACTACGCAAAAATTTTTAGTTTTCAGGGGAACTAAACGGGGCCTTAGCTTGTTTCTCTTGCAGTCGACAGGCAGGTCAACCCATCACGATGTATTGTCCTGTTCGCTTGACTGATAAGTTATGGCTGAAAATATCGTTGACTGATTTATTATGAGAAAAAATTATTATTCGTTGACTAAAAAAGTACGGCTTATAAGCTAAGCGAACATGACGTATACTTCTATATTTCCAGTTGAACATGTAGTGTACGATGGGCTTCGATTGTCCTGCACTGCATGCAGCTGACTTCCCAGCACATGTTAAACTATGGAGTCGATAAACACACAGTCGGCCTGTTCGTTTCTTGGTTTCAGTCATGGCTTATCAGTCACCCAATAGTATTTTTCTCTCATAATAAACCAGCATCAGCCGGGCTTATCAGCCTAGAAATCAACCAGCGAACAAGCCGAATGCCAAATATTCATCTCATGACCTTCAAAAGAAATATTCATCTCATCAACAAACAGAATTATTAATCT